ACACCGACAGAGAGAGCGAGCAGAGACCCCGCAGCTGAGTGTGAAGACTGAGGCAGCAGACGGAGAACACCCACCTCCCCTGCCCTGCCTCCCCTGCCGTCGTCAGGATCGAGGCTCCACCCCACGGCTCTTCTCTGATCCCTCTCTACTTTACAGCCTGTCCCTAAGTGTTCCCCATTTCCTGTCTTTTGTGACAGGGACCTCATCCAGTCAGACAGAGCCATTCCTACACAAGCAAACAGAGCAGAGGCATGGATCCTTAGTAACAAAGCCGAGGGGGGGGGGGGGCTGTTGAGAAAGCAGACCATCTGCCCTCATCTTGCCATGTTTGATGTGGGGGAAAAAAAGAAGGGAGAAGTTTTTATTCGGGAGCTTCGGTAGGTGCGAGGCAGGGATGGGATGCTGTTTCTGGAAATGGTGACTGAATGATTCACTCTTTCAGATCCGGATGAGACGACCATTCTCTAGAAGGGTGCTGCCCCCTTGTGGCCTATAGCAGGCACTATGCGAATGGCTGCTTTCCTGAAAACTGCTGGTAATTAATTGCTCAACAGAGGGAGCATTTCTACTGATATACGTTCCTTTATGAAAACACTCATTAAAAATCTAATTACTAAAACCTTAATAATAGCTGCTGAGAAAGAGAACAAACTGTAACCAAGATATAGATAAAGGCAGGACCAGAATGCAAAAAAAAATTAAATGAAATAAAATAAACCCTTCGTACAGAGCAGATGCAAGTTACTCTAGCAGTTGGTTCTGCAAGCTCTGTGCATTCAATTTCATCATCCTTCGCCATGGGTAAAATATGGCTCATCAGCAAGTTAAACCATATTTAGCTTCTCTCTCCTTTCACAAAGAATGAGGTCTCAGGAAGAAAAAAGCCTCAGACGCCATGAGAAGTCAGCAGGCATCACAGAAGTTATTTTACTTTGTGCCCCTGGAACTTCTGAGCCGGAAAAAGGGGGCCTCTCATCTAAACAAACAGGGCAGGGGTGAGCTAGCGTCAGCATCCTGCTACACAGGAAACAAAGAGCACATCCATGTGTGCATGTGCACACACACACACGCACACGCACACGCACACGCACGCGCACGCGCACGCTAGTGTAATAAATTCCCTCCATGGAAGGTTAGCTTATTTCAATCAACTTGTTACACAGTAACCCCCACCCCACCCGAAGAAAAGTCCCAGATTCATAAGCATGGTTCCCCACATGTGAGTCATCTCTGCCTTTCATACACATCTAAGGACCCCCCAAATAATGTGGTCCCTTCTGCCAAACCTTGAAAACCAGCTTAAAGGCTGCCAATCGTGATGATGTCCCATGTCCCTCACAGCCTACTAATGGAGATTAAGCATAAATGAGGGACAAGTTTGTCCGACCTTCAAGGCCAAGGGCTCAAATAAACACTCTCCACACGGCAGTGTGGGAGGATATTACCAACCCCCAGTGTGGGCACAGCCAGCCAAACCCACAATACCCATGACGACAACAACCAACAGCCTATTGGTCCAAACTAGCCCTGCTCCTGCCAATAGGACAAGCACAGACCTCCTTCATCAGTCAAGCCCTGTGTTGAGGATCCATGTAAATGGGACCCCATAAGATGGGACACAACTAACAGAACTTGCATGTGAGCAACTGCCTAGGATCGGCTCCAAAAATCTGTGATGAGAAGCCGAAAACACATCCCATATCGCTCCGAGGAACAGTGCAGGGGGCACGGGGGTCACCCAAACCACTCGCATGGTTATCGAGCCTCAAAGTGGGTCACAAACAGAGCAGGGGGCACTGCCCTGGGAGCTGGGCAGAGGTGCTCAGGTTTCCTTTAAACCCCTAACTTCTGCATAACAAAGCAAAGGTTCTCGTCAGCACCACCCAGCCGCTGGTGTCTTGTCAGCAGATCTGTGGTTTCCTGCCTTAGCGCACAGCTATGAAGGGAATCGGGACCTGCTGCTACACGCCTGGGTCACTGGGAACACGATAGTTAAGGGCAGAGGGAATGAGGTGAAGCCTGCTGTGTGGAGGGAGAAGCTTCCTGTCCACCTTACCAACTTAAAAGCCTGGACCAGAACCACATGGAACACACCAGCCACCCTAGGGTATTCAAGGGGAATAGCCACCCATCTGATCGCTTGCATACTGGCACGGCACACCAGTTTCAGTGAAAATCAGAGATGCTCCCATCTCCTTCTGAGACACAGGAGCAAAACCCTAAGATGATTTCAAACAGCAGTTGTTGTGCAAAGCCATCTGCTCAGAGCATGCAGTAGCAAAGGCCCAGGGGAAAAGTGTTTAAACAAGATAGTTCTACTTCCAGGGACAAGCAAGCACTTTACACCTGCCATTCACAGCTAATGCAAATGGGTCACACGGCAGCATCACACTCACACGGCTAACTGAGACCCAGGATGTGGCTGGGGGCCACAGCAGTAGAGAGTTCCCCACAGATGCGGAGATGTTGCAGCAATAACTCAGTATCAGTCATTTCAGATATGTGTGTGAGAAAACACCCTATAACATCAGGTGAAGGGGGATGGGGACCATTGTGAGAAATGTGTCATTAGGGGATTTCATCATTGTGCGAACATCATAGAGTATACTTACACAAACCTAGATGGCATATCCTACTACACACATAGGCTATATGGTATATACAATGAAAATATGGTATAAAAGATTTTTTTTAAATGCTTCAATATCTTTTGGGACCACCGTCATATGTGCAGTCCGTCGTAGACCGAAACGTTGTTATGTTGGGCATGACTATTTTCCAGGTGAACGTAGATCGTTCAGATATGACAGGCAAACAAAAGCAGCTTGAAAGGATCAACAAAGCTGGTTTTGGATTGGGCTCTGAGAAGATGTGGCTCTTTTCTGAAAGCGTGATTCCTGTGTACCATGCATCTGTTGACCAACTCGAAGGATAATACATTGCGCTTAAGACGCCCTTAAACATAGGAGTTTTGAGTTTGAATATATGAATACACTCATAAAGGAGGAAACATGCCCTGCTTCATAGAAAAACAAACACTCACACCCATCTATTCAATACATTTCAAAATATTTTCAGTGACAAGAGGTGGATATATGTGGTTTGGGGGTAAGATGCTTCTCAGTTTAGCCTAAGTAACCGCGGAGTAATTTTTGTGAGACGAAGGTGAAGGTAAGAGAATGAGATAAACGGAAGTCAGCAGATCTTCATACCATAATTATGCTTTCTGGTTCACTTGGAAGATTTTTATGATCGCCGACAAAAGATCGCAGCACAGGAACGGCCGTGTTAACTTTCATGAAACCGACGGGACACAAAAGCAGAACTGTAACTGGTATCACTGAGGGACGTTCTGGCCTCGAGCCTGGGGCAGCGCTCCGCCGGAGACTACGAAGGAAGCGGTGACAGGATATGCGAACAGGACAGGAAGGAAACATAACCCTAACAGGTCTGAATACAAGGGGAGAGCAGGAGGGAGCACCCAGGACGAGGCCACAAGAGGATATGAGCGGACAACAGAGCCACCTCGCCTCCTTCAGAGTTATAAATATTAAGAATAATAAATCACAGAAAAAAATATTAAGTCCGGGTTAGTGGGCAGTATGGTTCCAAGTTCCTGTTTATTACTGGATAAAACTGCAGTCTGACAAGTTCTCTTTCACTCATCTGACGGCTTTAAATTCCTCTCTGAACCATAATTACCTCTGAAAGGCTCGAATTGGCTACTAACATCACGTCAGCATTAGATCACGCATTTCCAGACACTGGACGTATAGAAAGGCGTGGCATCGCATTTTTCAGAAATTCTCTGCTTTGCTGACGGAGTCTTAACTACCCTTAGGACAAAATTTACGGGAAACCCAGCCTGCGCGTCAGCTGTATACTACGCATCCAATGGGAGTCGCTTCAGGAAGCTTCAGAAACACTGGAGGTCAATTCATTACTAGGATTAAGACACCGGCGGCGAAAAGCGCTAACGGGACACGTCCGAATGCAGAAGAGAATCACTGAAGTGCTTCAGACCAGCTCAGCGTATTCAACAGGACCATCGACACCGAAGACCAGCACGTGCTGGAAATCATTCGCTGTTGCTGTGCTCGGAGGCTCTCAAAGGGACACAGCCTTGTCTGGAGCTGACATTAACCAGCTATATAACAGTGTTATAAGTGCACTGAATAAAGCCTTCCTGTTACACAGAAATACTGTAGATTCAGTGAACCAGCCTGGCTCACGGTTAACATGGCAATCAAACAGACCCGAAGCATGTCTAAATAACCGATAAGGATTTTCCACGTTACCTAAAGGCAAGACCGAACATATGCGAATCTGTCACAACTTCTACACTAGTGAACAACTGGCACCCCTCCCCCAGAGTAACAAAGGGCTAGAAAGGAGTGATAAATATGCGCATAGCGTATTAAGAAACAAAATGAAAACATTTTCAGATTTAAATCCTCTGCTCTGTATACCTCCGTGATAAACAATTACATAAACTTCATAAGACGATAAAGAAAACAGATTTGATCCTTTACATTCATCTGTTGCGAGTATGTAACTACTTGGAGTTACATTTTGGTAAACAATATCACTGTACACACTATAAATCATCCCTGAAACAAAACAGATATATATTATGCAACTGAAGTCAGATTACCTTCATATTTACAGAAAATATAACAAAACGTCTCCACATACTTGCGCGAATCTGTAATTTAACATTGATATAATAAATCCTGGTAGATCTTTACATTGAAGCGCTGGAAATATATAAATTTAAGAGTTTTAACCAAGCGCATTAAATGCTGAACAAATACCTTTCGGCTGGCGGCCAGTAACCCGGCTTGTGCCCCCCCACCACTACTATTTATATAAATAAGCCAGTGTTTCTCAAAACAACATCCCACGAAAAATTATTACTGGCGCTTTAAATATGAAATTTGTGTTTTTCCGAAACTTTCTGGAGAGAGGAGGGGGGAGAAACGCAAGCGAGACAAACTTACCGACGCCCTCCTCGGACTTGAGCACCATGGTGTCCGCTGCTGAAATATTCCTGTATTCCTCACGCCGTGAAAAGAGACCTACAGTCTACGCGGAAACGCAAAAGTAACGCTTAAAACGAGAATTAAAGAACAAAACAAGGTGGACAGAGCCCGTATGACAGAAAGAGACGACCATAAACCGGATAGGTTACAGCGAGCTTTTGGGAGTGGTGTGAAGCCGCTCGCCGCGACGTTAGCCGAACTTAGCTAAAGCTAAATAAAGAGGCGGCAGAGGGCGGAGGGCGGAGCGCGAGCGGCTGCCGGGGCCGCGCGCAATGCGCGCTCGGTGTACCGCCCAGCCGGTGCGACGGTGTTCGGTTTCACACGTTCATTAAGATGGCCGGAGGGGGAAGGGTAAGTAACTCACAGAAAAGGGGGCAACGTGTCCCTGATACTGAAAACCTGAACGCAGAATATGACAATATACCCTGGAGGAACGGGGGGAAATGGGATAATATCTATGTACAAGCAATTAACCATGAAATTATGATTTATCAGGGTCGCCAACTCTCAAGCATCTGGCGTTACACTCACGCTTTCATACTCTCACGCTCATATCTCAAGCAAGATATCTTACGGCAAATCTGTATTATTCCATTATTAATCTAAAATTAGCTACATCAAAAGCGTTGGGGTAGTTTGCAAACCCTATAGATTAATTACAAGGTGGTAAAACTGTTATATACATGTAAATGTGTGTGCAGACTTGTCTGGAATTGGTCATCTCATGCCAGCCAGCTGATCAGAGTTGTCAACACTCTGCCTGTCTATCTATCTATATATCTTATATTGTCACACAAGGTCTCCAACACGCCCTGGCTTGACAATTACCACTCATGTCTTGTTTTGGGGCAGCACTGTATCAGTTCAAAGTGACCAGGTCTTTTAAATCATATTCTTCACAGAGGCAATGCTGCTGTGAAACAGGTTGCCAATCCCACAAAAAGAAACAGCGACTCAAAAAGCCTTGAATGTGAGTCCCGGTACTGTTTGCCTGCCCCAGCACGTCCATAAAAGGCATAGAAAACCATCTTAGCAGAAATGAATGGAAGATGACAGACAGATATCTCTTCTGCCCAAACTAGTGGTGCATAGATTAACTGGTCAAACTGTTTCCCGAGCAGAAATCTCACAAAGACTTCATTGACCTACCAACCCGCATTCCCACTTGAGTATTTACATCTATGAACACCTACCCATGTTACAGGCCTAGCCTGAACTTAATCGATGTTTCATTAAACCCCAAAAAATTTAAATCTCAAACAGTAAGCAACAGTTGTGCACAGTACATTTTGATTTTACAAGTGAACAAAGGCGCACTGTAAATTATGCTGATACGATGGAAATCAGATTATTGTGTATTAATTCTACGCAGCTTTATGTCTGGTCTTTGTGTGTTAGTCATATAGGCCTGGCTGTCAGCTCTGCATTCATGCTAAATTCCTACAAATTCAAACAAAGACTTGTTTGTGTCAAAAACCTTTCTGAGTCTCTTGCAATACATTGCTCTATGGGATATATCGATATTTATGCGTCAAACATTTCACCAGAAATATGCTGTTGGTTATATACCAGAACATTTATCTTAGATCTTTGCTAATGACAGAATTGTCTGAGATTAATCAATTCCTTAGACACATCGTAAACTTAGTCTTGGTGAGTGAGTGAACTTTGCTTATTTGTTCTTCACCGTACCCTACTTTTCTCAAGATGACTTGAGTTTTTTCATTTTCCATAACCAAAAGGTAGCTGAGAATCCCAGGAAAGCACAGATATGGCACAGGCGGAGAATGCTTAGAGCAATTTCACTCTCTGGGCCAAACTGAAAAACAGGGTGTCCCTCGGGGGTGCAGCCTTCTTTTCGGTGTTCCTCTTCTGAGGCAAAAGGAATGCAGAGTTATTTCAGGAATGGAATTTTTCCTTGAATTGTTTCACGAGTCCTTGTTGGCGCCACATGGCAACTCGGGAGACAGCAAATGAAGATTGTGCAGGTGGTACGGAGTCAGAGACAGAATCACGGGGTGGCTAAGCCTGGGCCTGTCATTGATGATCTTCGCCATCAACAGCATTAAGTCAAATCACAATGTCTTGATAGGCCCATAAACTGTGATTAAAGCGTCTTCTCTTGTATGTTTCTTTTACTTATCAAGAGACATTTCTATTGGAAGTTGGAGAGTACATTAACGTGAGAGTAAATATATAGGAAATTCTACAATCTCCATTATTGTAGATTTCATAGGACATGAAAATAATAATTAGAAAATGACCTTTGGTCTAAATGATGGAAAAAAAAACAACCACAGATAAATAAACCCTTTTATGAAAAAAAAATGCAGGGCAAAATAAAATAATAATAATAATAATAAAAAAAAACATAGATCACTATGGACTTCCCCTTTAAGGTGTGAGCTCGGCATAGTTTTGCAATACATGTGGGTTATGTAATCTGTGCTATACGTGACAGAAACACAATACTGTCACATAAACTCTTTATGCTGTGTGGGATCAGCACAGTGCCTAAGGAATTTATAGAGTTTGCGTCCTTAACGAATTCCACCTGTCCGGTAAAACTCCCAAAGACCTCTGACCTTTGGATTCATAGCCAACTACTGGTGGCATGTAAGTGAATGCTGAGTGATGAGGATGCTCTTTGCCTAGAGTCTGTTTTTTCATTATTTAAAGGGAGGGGTCAGAAAAAGAAAGAATGTTGAGTCTTCTCTGACGAAGGTTTAGTAAACCCTCTCTTACAAAGGACTGAATGTTAGTCGCCACTGCTGTGGCAGTAATGACTAAGCTTACTGGGGTTTGGAAGGAGAGGCAGTGGCTGGGTGCCTGTCTGGGTCTGAATGGCACGTGGCAGGACCTGGTGTCTCCAAGCGCCCGCTGAGCACAGAGCGAGAGCCTGGCAAAGGCCTCGCAGTCACGGCGGCCCTCAATAAACCCACAAATGGCACTAACAAGTGCAGCAAATCCATTTACAATCCTCTTACAGTGTTAATGAAGCTTGTCGCTTCACTCAGTGGGGAGAGACAGCAGGTCTTTTCTATGTACTGTTATTTCTGGGAAGCAGAGCTCCATGACGAAAGCATTCATCTTCACACTGTCCAGACCTCGAGCTGGATTGGCAAAAACAAACAAAGAGCCCCAGCTGCCTTGCAAAACAGCTCAATACCTTTGGCAAGCTTACCAGACGAGTAAACATGCCCCATTCCGTATAAAGAAAAGTGCCCGAGGGAGATGAAGATTTTCCTTTTGTGCGAGAGACAAATATTTAACAAGCAAAGGCCGAATCTTCTAATATGTCTACGCAGAACATGTCTGCGGGTCGTTGACACATGGTAACATTTCCTGTTTACGATTTCAAAACACACACAAAAAAATTTTTGCATTAGCACGAACGGTTTTTCTGACCTCCAGTGGTCACATGAGGTATTACTTATTGAAAGGACTACAATAAATGCAGGTATGATCAAGAACTCAATGGTACTTAATCGAGCACATCACCCAGGGTCACTGGGTTCTTTAAATATGATTAATAAAATCCAGATAATTGGTAGAAGAGCTAGAATGTTCTTAAAAGCAAAATTAGCCTGAATTCCCATTAAAGGAATGGATTGGCTATAATTCAGTAAAAAAAAAAGTGGCATTGTATAATACTGACCATTTTTTCCACACTCATTTTGTAAATATTGTCTGGGAAAAAAATTCCAGTACACACCCGTGCTGCCATGCGCCCAAAAAAGAAAATCACAACCTGTCAGGCTGTGAGATCGCAAGCATGAAGGACACTTCTCAGGTCAAAAAAAACAGTTCAGCGAATCGCAGGCGGATGCCAGTGCTTCATCTGCAAATGAGCTAAAGCCGTCCAGCACCAAAGAAAAAAGGAGAATGGAGAAGGAGAAAGCGCCAAAAAAAACTGTGGTATATACATATTTGAAAGAACGTTACATTTATATAGCGTTTTACAGAACCAATGGGGAGCCACTTCAGCCGCCCCCACCTGGATGATCCGGAGGCAGCCATTCTGCACCAGTACACTCACCACACAGTGGTGAAGGAGCAGGAGAGATTCACCAGTTAGATGTAGGGGATGACTAGGAGAGGCCGTATTTGATAGGGCCACAGTGGGTAGTTTTACCCAGGACATCGGGGTACCACTGCTGCTCTTGTGAAAGATGGCCAAGGATCCTTTATGACCTCAGAGAGTCAGGAGGTTTGCAGGTGGTCTGGCTGCTAACATTTAGGTTAAATTCACGATTTATTTCCGTCCAAAATATACGCGATTCTTAATCATATGGAATGATTTCATGCAAACTAATAACTTATTATCAAGCTACAGTTAAAATCTCTTAATTCCGTAGGATCAGATACTTATAATGGAAACATTCATACTTTAGACAAAACTTAAGCTTGATGCGTCTTTGTTAGATTATAACATATTATACACGTAATGGACAATAAAGGTTTAATAGCGTGTAGCATACAGATCTCATTAAAGGTTGTTTCCTTCTTTATAGGATATAAAGCTTAATTTTGAAATGAGTTCTCTAGATGGGGCAAAAAGCTAAGAGATTCAGGGAAGGCAGGAAGACAGAAACTATAGTCTGATTACGGAGATGATGATGTCGACCTGGAAGGGGCGACTTGGATTGGATAAACATTTGTGAGAAACACAGGTTGGCCGGGAGAAAATCTCATCAGTGAGAGTGATGCAAACCGTAATGCAATTTAAGGCTGCGGTAATGCGATAGAGATCGGTGGAGGGCAATCAGCAGCTACCCTGTAACGGCCTCACACATCTTCATCTTCTACTGTTGCCCGCATCTTCGACGTGGGGCCATCGATCATGGCGTACTGGGTGATTGGGAGCCCGCCGGGGTCCAGCCGCCAGGCCTCTGCCGGGCTAATGTCCGCTCTGCATTCACACTATTGGCTCAGGACCCACATCATCTGACGCCTTAACAGCCCCACTAATACCCTGTGAAGACACAGGAAACAACTTAAAGGCTGTGAGCTTCTGAACCTATGAACAGACTTGAGAACTGGAGCCCAGACCCTGGATAAGTGGTCCTGACTACTTTATCCATTCAATGAGATCTACTATTAATTGTTGCAGCCCAGTATAAATTTCCATTCATCTTTTAAGTGATGCCAGAGTCATATATGGAGAACGGGATGTTTGGCGGCTTGAGAGAAAGGCAGCAACACTTAGTTGAAAAGATATTTACAGGGGATCTACG